AAAAAAAAAAAAAAAAGGATATTATTTTATCAAAAGAAGAAGAAAACCTCAATTAAGAAAAGTACTGAGTAGGATTTTCTTATTAACAGCCTTCTTCAACAGCCTTATAATGAAATTTTGGGCTTGGGGAGGCTGGGCTTGGCTAAAGCCCAGACCTTTTTCCCTCCATTCGCCCCTAAGTGTATATAAGGTGAGGCGAAATGGGATAAATACTTGTAATGCACTACAATAAACTTATATAATGATCAAAACAGCATATCAAATAAAAAGGGTGATAAGATAGAATTATATATAAAATAAGGAATATATAATTGAAGAATACATTTAATTCAAAGAGTTATTAAGATGTCTAAACAATGAGTAGAATATGTTGGAAATTTGGATTAGTTTTGAGAACAAAAACAATAACACGAACACAATAATTTACGTGGAACGCTTTAAAATCGAAAAAAAGAAAGAAAAAAATTTACAGACCTTTAAAAAATAGATATTTTACCATATAAAAATTAGTTACAATCATATAAAATCTATCACAAACCCCTAATAAGCAAATATAAAAAAATATGGATAACACTAGTTGTACATAATTTTTTGTAAATTAAGGTATCCATACACTCACATGGGATGGAACTCACTGGAAAAAAAATATTTGAACGGGCCCCACTCCATGTGAGTGTGGACACCTTGATGTAAAAAAAATTATGTACACCAAGCAAAACTCAAAAAATATTCATACCAATTACCAGGTGAAACTTCTAACAATCCTTAAATCTCACCATAGGATAGTCAATGACTATCTTAAAAATCGAAATAAATTGGTTAAATAATCCTGTTCTGTATAGGATATAATAAAACACTCGTAATGAATAATATTATTATATCTAAAATACAAATAATAAATATTTAATTCCTATTTTAATGAGAACAACGCAAGAGTCGGGCAAATTATATTTCTTTCTGTTTTTACTTTTTATGTTGTTCTTCACCAATTAAAGAGAAATAAATTTTGTGTTTTCTTGTTTATGAATTCCAAGTTGGTTTCTGTGTTTTTGTATTACAATAAAGGCTTTCGTGGTTGGTGGGCTCAAATGTTAAATGGATCGAGTTATGTGGATGGGGTCCAACATGGCGTGGGCCTAGCAAGTCCAGTAGTACATTTAGTTTTTATTTATTTATTATTTTTTCGTTCCCTTTAAACCAAATGAGGTGGTGAGTTTTATTTATAAAGAATATATTATATGTACACCTAAGAGGAAGTTAGGCTTGACCTCCAGCTAAAGATCGAGAAAGAAATAATTTACTTCATTTCAAAATAGGAGGAATAGAAGAAAATTTGAGAGTATAATGCTTTATCTTATGAGATCTTAGCCTAGTCCGAAACATTTACATTGCATGATGTGCTTATAGGGCTTGTCATTTGAATCATACTCTCTAGTCGGTTCAAACCAAGTAAACGAATTACCTAAACTGACTAAAAATTTCCCATGTTATCGAACTTCCTTTGGACACATCTCAATGCAACTCCGGTGTAGTCATGCCTCGGGCAGAATGGAGTCATCTTCTCCCCAAATTCATAGTTCTTGACTATTTTACACATTACCTCGATGCTTGATGTACTCCATGACGATGGTGCTTTTCTAGCCTATCGTGTAGTCCCAAAGACACATACAATTGCATATTATCCTGAATTTTTTCTTTTATCTTATTCTCATTTCCTTAGTTGATGAAGGATGATGAATTTGTCTCGATTGACGGACTGCCATGAACTCCTAAAAAGTTATTCCGATGACACTTGAAGTGATTAACAATGTCCCGTTAAATAAATAGATCTTCCCTATTGCCAAACATGCATATTTGAAATAAATAGATTTAGAGAGAGATATTATATATTTTTGTTCAAGCAAAACAACTTTCATTCAATTAAATCGCCACGAGCATGTGACGAAATTAAAACCAAAATACAATCAACTCAGTGTGAGCATGCTATGGATGTAAATGAAAAATTACATGAGCCTCAGGCTTTGAGAGAGAGCTCAACACTATCCTCTCACCAAGTTGTCATGTTAAATTTGGAACTAACAACTAGAATCATACAATCTTCACCCATATGGCTTCTTAACATTTGATCCACAGAGATAAGAACAAACAAATCATCAAGCCACGAAATCGATCCAAAACTATTGAATTGGGTCTACGTTGACCAGTTTGCATTGTAGTTTAACTTTAAAATCAAATGGTATTGGTTCAAAATAGTTCACTTTATATTTCAATTGATAAAATCGTTAGAAATCGCCAGATAATTTACCAAATCATTTTTTTTTCAAGAAAAAAGAAGAAGAAGAAGAAAATGTTGAGAGTCTAAAGCCTGGAAGTGCATGTATTTTATGGATTTTGCTACATGTACAATCGTAGTTGACAACCACACACGTGGGAGGGCGTCCACGATTGGGCCCCCTCCTGTGAGAAATTTGTCAACCCTGATTGTACAACTAGCAAAATTCATATTTTATTAGAAGAAACAAGAATAAAAGTTAAAATAAATTAAACTATACCCAACCCAACCCAACCCAACCCAACCAAACCCAAAACCCATTCCAATAAAACCTACAAATCCGTCCTAATTAGATCAAACCCAAGAGTCACCAAAATTGAGAGGTTGAGATAAGATGTTTTTTATTTATATATTATGCTTAGTTCAAGATGTTGCACTCTTGAGCTTTATCTTTTCAAGCAAGAACAAGTTGATCACTTTATATTACCTCAATCACTATCTTTAATTGTAACTATTATGTTATTTTGCCATAAGGTTGACATCAAACCCTATTGCTCAAGCATTCATTTATGGAAGAAATAGGATGAAAGGTGCTTATACAATTCTTCTATCTATGTTTCAACTCCTTTGAAATATATGTTAGTTTTACTTCGGTTGGTAAGTCAATGTTTGAAACCAAACAAAACTAGAAAAATAGTATGATTTAGAAAAATTTTAAACCGTATAAATGGTTTGTCAAAATAATTCAAATCAAACCGTATTCGCGACAAGAATTAATATAGTAACTATAAGTGAATATAAAGAAACTAATTGTATAATTATTTTTACATTTTGCGACAAGGGTGTGATTGTAATTTGCTTCAACTAAAGCACGCACGATATTGAGTTGTATAGTGCTATTTCTCAAGTGGTAGAATATGAAAGCCACGTGGTGGGTCTCAACATCACGTGTTTTTCGATTGTGGACAGTGAATCCGACTTGCACTTCCTTTATATATTTTTTTCTCTCGAGCATATTTAGATGCACTAGATAAAATTTTAATTTTCTTCTTTAATACCATTAGATTGTACAATTCATAAAAATCTGATTTTTAGATAAATCAAACAGATTCTAAATATCTAATTACGTGGAACTAATTATGAAAATTTGAGTATCATTCTTGTATTGACAAATTATACATATGTTTTTCAAGAAAGGAACTTATCAATAGGACTTTTTATGGATTGGCAGGTTGGTAATGAATATTTAAAATCTGTAGGCGAATTTACAATCAAGTGGTTCTCGAATGTTCAAGATCTTTGAATGTGTCAAAGTCTAAATAGTAATAAATATATAAATTTAAAAACTTACTTGATATGGCCAATCCAAGCACAATAATTGACGCCAGCATAAAATCATATTGGACCCATTTCATGTAAAAAAATTTAGGAAAATTTTTGTTAAAAGTGATTTTTATAGAGATCGTTTGGTTAAATGTAAGGAAAAGTTTTCCGCCCATGTACAAAATTATTTTATTAAAAGAATTTATAGTTAAAAATGAGGCTAAGAATAAATAAGTTTTAAAGAATCTCTGTCGAATAGGAACTTGATCGACTCGCATGAATAAAAATATTATGCTCTTGTTTGGTGGGAACTAAAATTAAATTTTTGATGTATTTAAAAAAATTAATAAAATGTGTGGTTGTAAATTTATAGATTTTATGAAATATATTATTAAAATTACTTTATGGAAAGCAGTTGGTGGGAAGGTTTATATTATTATTATTCATTGGAAAAATTGGAAGGAAAGAAAAAGGGACTCAAGGCATTAGGTGAGGATACCACAAATGTACTTATCACCACTATCCTCCTCTATAGTCCGATCCACTCAATTTCTAATTATTTTATTTTGAACATTTTAAATATATTTTTTCAAAATATATCGAGTAGTAAAACAACACGTGTCTCACCCTCAACCACAAACTTTATTTCCCATTATTAAATATTAGAAAATTATTATATTTTTGTACGAAAAATAGCAGCCCGTGGCTTAGCTTGACTATGATAAAATATAATTATTTTACCAAATTATTTTAATTTATTTAAATTAAACCGTTGATAAATTCTTCCCAAGACTACGATATCCTAAACGACAAACTAGCATATTCACACGTCTATATATATATATATATATAGAGTGTGTGTGTGTGTTAAACATCAATGATATGTTATATAAATTTATGAATAATTCTACGTGTATATTATGATATATATAGGGATGTTCATAATGTACATATGAAATTCCAAGATTGAAGGGTTGAAAAAAATTGTTTTTCAACTTTTCAATAATGTTACGTTACTTGTACATTATGAATATTCTTATGAACACCATAATATAAATATAGCATAACCTTGAATTTATTGATGAATTCGTTCATGGTAAGTTTATCCACCAATAAATATATTAAACACGTCACTAATCTTAACACAAATTTGGTAAGTGGATCTTTCTATATATATATAGCTTGGTTGGTAACAGTCGGTGTAAGTTAGGCAAAGGCAAACATTCTAAACTTTCTCAATGACAAAAGTATACCCAAACAACACCAGTAGCGCCACCTTATCGCCGCCGCCAAAACCTATTAATAGCAGCAATGGCGATGCCAACTCGGTGGTGCTCACCGTCTGGAAGAAATCGCTCCTCTTTAACTGCGACGGTTTCACGGTGTTCGACTCTAATGGAAACCTCGTCTTTCGCGTCGACAATTACATCGCCGGCAACAAAGGAGAGATTGTTCTCATGGACGCCTCCGGCAATTCGCTTTTCACCATCCGCCGCAAGGTAAGCCTTTATTTACACACATATCGCGTCCCGTTTTCATTTCGCTCCGACTTGTTTCTGATGAATTTTTATTGCAAAATGATAGAGATTGAGCTTGGGAGACAGCTGGTTGGTGTTCGAAGGAGAGAAGGATATAAACCCTAGGTATACGGTGAGGAAACGGATGAACTTTCTTCGTAGCAAATCCCTAGCTCTCGTGACTTCAGGAAGCTGCAGGGAAACAAATCAAACAATCTCATCGGAAAAGAGAAACAGAGTACTTTACGAGATCGAAGGATCATACGCGCAACGGTGTTGTGCGATGTACGACGATAAGCGGCGGCTAATGGCTGAGATAAAGCAGAAGGAGGCTGCCGTGAGAGGCGTTGCTTTCGGAATGGACGTTTTTCGTCTCATTGTACATTCTGAATCTGATTTAGCAGTTGCCATGGCCTTAGTCATCCTCCTTGACCAGATGTTTGGATCCTCCACCTCGTCACGTCGTTAATTACGACTATTACACAAGATAAAAGCCTTATAGCTCGATCAGCTTCTCTGATTTCATGCTGAAGTGATTTGCATTTAGAAAGTTAGGAAGTGATTTTAGCAGAGTTTGACTTGTGTATATATCGGATGTCTCGAGTTGCTTTTGTATTTATAGCTTCTTTCTTAGTTTATAGATTCATCCATTATCCTTTTTTGTTTTCATTTTTCAATTGAAAACTTGTCAATCTTATTTGATACTACGCACTAAACAAATAATTGCACAAGAAGTTCCTTTGCTCATAGTAATCCCAAGATATTCGATTATGGGCCATTTGTTGGTGAGTTGTTGAGTGAATAATATGTGAAAACATCGTAGAATAACTAACCATGTTTGGTAGAGATTTTTTAAAATTCATTTTTTTCTCAAATTTATGTTCAACCAAACATTATTTGAGTAAAATAATTTTGAATATGAACTCGTAACTTTCCTTACTTTTTAACCACACATTCTTTAAAAAAAATTACTTTTCACAAGATTTTGTGCTCAAGAAGTTTTTTGTTTAGAAGTAAATCAGGTGTTCAAGCAGATGTTAAATTAGAGTGATATGGGTATACATGCCACTTATCTAGATTCTTAAAATATTCAACATCAAACAAGATCTTAATCTCATACGAAGAACAGGGAATCGCTCTATGCTCATACAAGTCTCAAATGCTACAGAACAATACCACAAAAAGAAAAAGAAAAAGCACTATGAGAACTGAACAATTAAATTTTCTCCTCAAGTTATTATTGCACAAATGACAACTAATCCTTCAAGAAGCAAACATAAAAAAAAAATATTTTCTACAAAATCTACTGTCATTACTTCTCTCCATTTAGTATAAGTGAACTCTACCCTTACTCAGATGCGTTTTCCAAATCTCATACGAAGAACAGGGAATCGCTCTATGCTCATACAAGTCTCAAATGCTACAGAACAATACCACAAAAAGAAAAAGAAAAAGAAAAAGCACTATGAGAACTGAACAATTAAATTTTCTCCTCAAGTTATTGTTGCACAAATGACAACTAATCCTTCAAGAAGCAAACATAAAAAAAAAAATATTTTCTACAAAATCTACTGTCATTACTTCTCTCCATTTAGTATAAGTGAACTCTACCCTTACTCAGATGCGTTTTCCAAATGCATCAGATAGGTATGTCTAACTTCATAAAACGTTTTCCAATCGTAGCAAATTTGACTACTGCAAGAATCGTCCTATGCTTCGGGCCTTGCCGAAAGTAAGAATAGTTTTTCTTCTTTTATCGTCCATGAATTCGAAATATGTCAAATTCATTGCGGCTCGTACTTGCCATGATTACCTCAGCTTGAACAAAGAATATTTTGATCAGCGCACATAAGGGAACGTCGTCTTCCTTACTCAGATGCGTTTTCCAAATGCATCAGATAGGTATGTCTAACTTCATAAAACGTTTTCCAATCGTAGCAAATTTGACTACTGCAAGAATCGTCCTATGCTTCGGGCCTTGCCGAAAGTAAGAATAGTTTTTCTTCTTTTATCGTCCATGAATTCGAAATATGTCAAATTCATTGCGGCTCGTACTTGCCATGATTACCTCAGCTTGAACAAAGAATATTTTGATCAGCGCACTGCTTTGAATATCCCATATGCTGCAACTTCAGAAACATGGTGATTTGGCATCTAAGGATTTACATTGCAATCACTCAAGAACTGATTTTGTAGGTTCAGAAACTTCCTCCAAGAACTTTTGTATTTAGGAATGCCAAGCTCGAGCCACGGTTTCATGTTTCCATTGAAATGCAAAACCGCTGCTGTCCTCAGGGCATCGTCTTCATGACCATAATTAAGGCCCAGGCCTGATAACATCCAACTGTCATCAAGAGCATAAACTTGACCTTGAAAGGTGAGCATACTTGCACTTAGTGCAGTAGCTTCAGATAATCCTTCTTCTGTGCTCATCTGCTCTTCACATTGTATAACAAAGTAATGGTCAGAAAATGGGTAGGCAGACAACAGCAGGAACCATCTATAATATCAAATTGATATATCAAATGATAGTCAATCAAAATATGTGCAAGTGCAGGGACCATTCAACTGAGACGCCAAAAACAAATTCAACAAGTGACAGTAGAACAAGTTAATGAATTTTTTTTAAAATTCTCAATTCAATCCTTGACAAGTTATGTAGCATTCAAAAAAAATATACAGGTTTGTTAACAGCCAAACAGGATTTCAAGCAGGTTAACAAGAATAAAATTTTTAAAGTCATTGGATTCAGCTTGAGGAGTTGATTTGGGTCCGCACCCATGTTAGGTGTGCACGCGCACACGCACGTTTATTTAAGTATATAATACATACATCAGGGAGAACTCAGAAGTGCGGCCAAAGAGCAAGCTGGATGCTCCGCGTTGAGACAAACCAGACCCACGCTCTTTCCATTATCGATAACATCCAACTGTCATCAAGAGCATAAACTAGACCCCGAAAGGTGAGCATACTTGCACTTAGTGCAGTAGTTTCAGATAATCCTTCTTCTGTGCTCATCTGTTCTTCACATTGTAAAAGAAAGTAACGGTCAGAAAATGGGTAGGTACACGAGCAGGAACAGTCTGTAAAATCAAACTGCCTGATATATCAAATGTTAAATCAAAAAAATTATGTGCAAGTACAGGGACCATTCGACATATGACAGTAGAGCGAGTTTGAATTATTTTAAAATTCTCAATTCGTTTCTTGACAAGTTATGAACCATTCAAAGATTACAGGTTTGTCAACAAACCATACAGAATTGTAGGCTGTAGGCAGGTTTACAAGGATAAAGAATTAAAGGTCATTATTCACTACTGTGCTACAGGAACTATTAGTAAGAAAAAATTGAAAGCCAGAATCATGTTTAGTTTTGCGTTTCTTTACTTTCTTTTCTTCTTTGTTCTTTCTTCTCTCTCCTCCCTTTTCCTGTCTGTTTCTATTCATATCAATTGGTTTTGGCGCTTTCCATTCAAAAGCTATATATATTTTATGAAATCTTGCAGCCCCTGTGAAATTGTAATATAGGAAAGTTATGCATGATATATGCTGTAAGGATTCAAGCCGGGAAACTTTTAATTGGGACAATGAGAAACTTATAATGGGCAGTCCATTTAACTACTTGAGCACCTAGCAGTCTTTGTACAGCTGAGCAACTATCATTTCTTTTTTCTTTTATAAGCTATATGTCAAAAATTGAAAACACATAAAGAGTCACCTGAAAAAGAAACGTGTAAACTGAAAGAAAGATCACTCACCTCTTGCACCAACCTCTGGAATGTTTCAGTAAGATTATGTTCCCTCCATCTGGATAAATCAATAATGTTTACTCCAGATATCCAAGCACAAGAATTTTCTGAGAAACTGTACCTAGGCAAATAATTTTTCAGCTGCCCCAACTTCACTGCACAGAACTGCACAGCACCAATCACTTTTCCACCCATGTCAACGCTCCAAAGTTCTGATAAGTCTCTTTGAGTGAGGATGTCATCGTCCAAAACCACAATTTTCTTCAAAGTTGGAAATATCTTAGGAAGGAGATAATGGGAATGTGAAAATATTGATAGGTACTCAGTTCTAATCTGATAACTAGAGAGTTTGTCAACTCTAAGAAAAGAAACACGAAATTCTTCAGGCAATGATAGATGCAATGGAGCCAACTTATAGTGATTATTCAACTTAAGATCTTCAATATTCAAAACCTGAACTGTGGCTTCCCGATACTTGTTAATGAAAAACCATAATTTCATAGCAAAGTAATTTTCCCTGTCTGTCAGGACATGAAAAACCTGTTTCTCACTTTCCTGAAAAATGAAAGTAATCTCATCAATGCATTTGATATTTATTCCGGTACTGCCAAAAGATTTTTCTTTCAAGAAGAAAGAAGAAGAACGAAGAAGATACACAATCCATACTTCCGTATTCTGTACAGTCGAGTTGATTGCTACAGATGAAGCAAGTAGATTCCTGGAGAATATAACATAGTGGTGCAAGTCTGGATTTAAAACTTTCTCAGACAATGACTGCTCCAAATCATGTGGAGATCTAAAATACTCTACAGTTAACCGCATGGAGAGACAATGGAGACTCTTTGGCATGGTTTGAACTGCAAGTTGGTAGAGGAAGGCACTTTGCTTCCTGTGGAAATTAGCTTCATCCTCCGTCAGATCAACCAGTTGTCTTAATTTCTTATCAACATTATTACAGTCCACAGGGCATGACTTTGCTTTGGCTATTGCTGCCTCCATCTTGGTTAGCCTCTTCCCAATTCTGATAGCATAGGCAATAAATAGATGCTTAGTCTCCCAGGCATTTTAGTACAATTTGAACAAATTTCATTAATTTCGGAGACAAATTTAATTTGAGAGCTATGAGTTGAAATAAAGGAAGAAACCATGATTTCTTGGGCAGGAAATGAAAAGACATGCACATAGAAGAGAATCTCAAAGAGTTCTCTAAATCCTTCAATGACCTTGGCTAAGAGAAGTATCCAGATCGGAGGACCAAATCACAAGAGTCACTGTCAAAACATTGCGCATAATAATGTGTGATTTTTAAAGAGAGACTTTACAGGCCAGGAGAATAAGTTATTAAATTATGAACTATGGGGACATGCAAGGGTTCATTCCCAAGGGATACAATTAGATGTTGGAGATTATCAACCTATATATATTCTTATTTTTTGAAAGTATGTATATTCTTATGAGAACACAGACTGAACAATAGCATATTATACCACACTCATTTTAGACTAATCCAGAAACAAGTACTAAATTTCATGTACTAGCCTGCTCCACCAGCTATGACCTTAGAATGATTCAAAAACCCCTTTGAATTTCATATATTAGAACCGAACCACTCCTTTTGAACCTTTGATGTGTCTAAGTTATAATAGAGCAAAGTGAATACATATAACCCTGTAAATGGCCCAACTGTATGCCAAAGACTCACTGAGCTGAGTCAAATCCAATAAACATGCAATAAGTAGCAATGAACCACCCAATAGGCAATAGCATCTTGATTGGAAATCTCATAGCAAAATCAATCAACAGTTCACAAACAGCTAAACCAAAATATATTGCACATAGATAGTTATTAAAAGAAAGAATAAAAGGCAATAAAAAGCAATAAAAATAGATTCACTAGTAGTAGAACTTGACTGGTCAATTATTCAAATGACTTAGAGAGTGAACTTGTTTCATCTTTCCTTGTTATTTAACTAAATAATAGAGAAACAAAACATATATATGTTACAATTGATGAAGGGAGAAAGTTGAACGTACTGAAGAGGAAGATCTTTGTCTGTCGAAGCTTCACTAAAAACACGTTCAAAATCCTGAATATTTTGCTTCATTTCATGTGACAACTTGTCAAATGCTGGAAGCTTTGCAATACTTGGATAATAAGCACGAGCGACATAAAGTAAGTCCTTCATCTTCTTCACTACAGCGTCTTTCATTTTTTCCCTATGTTCTCGGCGCCATATACAGTAACTCCCATATTTCAACTCACACAGATTTTCACTTTCATCAGCACCTCTAAAATTCTTACCAGCATCATCTGTAACAGCAAGTCCAGTATTCTGCAGCATAATTAATAGTTAATCACGCTTGCCAATCCAATGGCAACAATTTGGAAGTTTAGACAGTGTAGGGTATAAATTTGAGCAAAAATTTGACAATACATACATTTTTCTGCTGTAGTTTGGGCGAATCAGTAGCTGTAGGGAGGCCTGTTAACATTTTAAACAAAAGAAATTTGATGAAAGAAACCATACAAGTCCTACACTTTCTAGAGAGTACTATAACACAAAGCATTTGTGAGAGAATTTTTGCAGTTAATTGAGCATGGGTACCCCACCATAAGTTTCATTCTCAGCTTCTGTGACAGGATTCTCCCCCACATTCTGCCAAAATATACACAAAAGTTATATGAGATTGCAGAAAATTTTATAATCAAACAATGCCAAACCCTATGCTTGTAAGATTATCCATGTGCTTAAAGTAGTACTTAGCTAACCCAATTAAGTAGAAAACGCGATGATGAGTTCAACGCTAGGTCAAAGCACTTAAAGACTCCAAATAAGGCATACAATTTATTTTTACCTTTTCCTATTAACAAGTATTTCTAAGATGCGAAAAGGGTACAATCCATATTCATGTGCATGTGTAGAACAAGTGTTTCACACCACCGAAAATTGAGCAAATTAAAGACCAAGGGAAAATTTTCCTAACAATTTGTACAAACACCCAAGCCACAACTGGAATAATAATTTATTATTGAAGGAAACAAATGGGCTACAATGTATAGACAGCTTTTAATGATGCTGATCTGCCCATATTCACGGATAATAGGCTACAACTATGGGGCACAGTTTATTCTCTTTATTATAGTTACACTATCTCCATTTGAATTAATGGCTTTAGCAGTCTAAAACTGTTAGGCAAATAGTCAAAGTAACACCAAATACAATAACCATAACAAGGTATACGTTAAGGAAGAGGAGGGGATCCACTTGATTCTGTACCTTCTTGAATATTCTGCATCTAACTCTATTATTTGCCTGATATCTACTGCTAGATTTAAGAGAAAGAAAAATATTCATCACTACATTTGCAACTCCAAAACCGCTGGCCAGTCATCACCTTAACAAAAACCGGATAACCACGAATGAGAGAATGAAAGCCACAATGACTTCCGGCCAACCTCATAATGATGGAGATCATAACAAGAATAAAGATAGAGATATATTTTAATTAGGATTTTATAATAAGATTAAAGTAGATTATTTAGATTTGATTTGACAAAGTTCTAGATTAGGTAGAATTTGATTTGATTTGATATTCTTTTAGTTTCTAGCTCTATAAATAGAGGGGCCTATTCATTGTAATTCACAACCAGATGATATTAATAAAGGTTAATTTTCCTCTTGCCCTCAATTATTCTCTTCTTTGCATCCCCTTTTCTTCTGGTTCCTAATTGTTCTTTAACAAATTATACGCATCCTGCATCACGTAATCAACAGGATCACTTCAGAAAAATAAATTGTCAATAAGCAAAGGAGGGTATGGGTGATCCCAGATATTGTAGTTGAAGCTAAAAGGAAGATATGGTGTTTGAGGTGATGGCATCATAGATTCGAAAGGTTGACCGGTGATTGTTGTTGTCTGAGGTATTTATGGCAGAATTAGACATTTTCTCTCTTATCAATTGAATTTCTTCTTTCTTTTTTGGCTTCACCTCGGGGATCCCTTATGATCATTTGGAGTGATGGTGGTAACATAACCATCAGATTGGATTTGGTAGAAGATACGGACAGAAATTTAAATCTTAGTTAGTTATGCATCATGTGACTCGGGTGAAAACTTTAAGTAATAAAAGTCTGACTTATACCTAAATAAATATGCATCGTCAAACCAATACATTCATTTGAAACATAAGGAATACGTAGTTTGGGAAGTAAAGTTAAAAGAAAATTCGTCAAAAAAGAGATAATAATGCCTCTCCTGATGGTTACTTCCCCTCGGGAGTAAAAAGGAGGAAAATAGTTGGTTGCCTTGCCTCATAAAGAGCATTGCAAAGACTAGATTAAAGACTCTTAACTTCTATCCTAGTTACACTGTAGCTTTTAGGGTTTAATAAATTCAACAGTCTTATACTGCCATCATAATGTTTGCAGAGGACTTTCACATCAACTGCTTTTCCAGAGTCTCTAGGTCTAGATTAGATGGTCCTAACTACATTAGAAGACAAATCGTGATGGGAAGATATTCTTATTTCACGCCCTTCACAAGGCAAGTGAGAAGGCCTGAGCATGTTTGTTTTTCATGCACTAATTTTCAATACCCAAAGTTGTGAATGCTTAGAAAAAATAAAATAAAATATAAAATGAATCAAACAGCTTAGAAATTATGAAATCACAAATACAATTATTTGCCATCCAAAAATAGGTAAAAAAAAATAAGCCTAATCCAGAGTGAGCGTACAATAGCCCAAGTTGTCAGCTATGCATGTATACGATAATCCTTAAGAAGTTACAATTTCCAAATTTGAGGGGAACAGTCTAGAAAACAATTGAAGAGTATACTATCAGCAAAAACAAGGTCATCTCTAATCTTCTGCTGTACAACCTTTTCTTGGTACTTTAATTCCCTTTCTTCAGCTGATATTGTGATCCAAACGCCTCAAAAATGGAGCATTAAAAGGCATTTAAGGTGAACCTCAATACATAATCGTCCAAGGCGTGGCTTAAGGTAAAAAATTTTGCCACATTACCACTTTCCTTGCTTTGAGGCAGAACTTAGGATTGCCTCTTCGTCCTATTAGCCTGACTCAATCTACCCATTTTCCATCCTCACTATATATATACAAGTCAACTCTATGTTAGCTTGGCAAAAGAATTTCTTTAAAATGCACCAATAAGGTGCACTTGTATGTACAAATTTAGCTTCATGTCATTAGTCTATTATGAACAGTACACCAATAAAACGAACATAGCAGAAATGTAGATGTCAAAATGTATACGCAGCTATACTGTAATTGGTAAGATATGAATTAAGGAGAAGAGGTAGCAAATGATGAATTGATGGAAGAATGACTTGTATGGTTATGGAAAATCTTGTATCTACATAGGGAAGCTATAATTCATAAGAAAAGGTGCAGTTCCAGTAAAACGGGATAAAAAAGTGAGAGATCAACCGAAATTAACATGGCTTGAAGTAACTGAAAAATTTGATTGCATTGGATCTTATATTAAATGTAGGGATGGGTCGAAGGAAATGGCAAAAGTGATTTGTGTGGCTCACCCCGAATTTGTCGACAATAAGGCTTAGTTTATTGCGGTAATTAAAACGTTATGTTACTCGTGGATACAGATGCCACAACTGTTAACATTTTCAAGTTGGCTTTCCTTTTCCGTTATAGTTCCGTTTGTTTTTCCTTTTTCTTTAATAACAAAGTTCTAACCTCAACATATATAGCCTTTTGCATCATACAGATATGAATGGTTTGATTCAACTCTACAAGGGTATTCTATCTCCATTTGTGTTATAGAAATACAGTGGCAGTTGATGACAATGGTGCTTCCATTAGAGACAACTATCAATGAGACATTGACCAGTAACTATTCCAAAAATACTGTTAATTCAACCAAAAAAAAAAAATAATAATAATAATAATAAAATAAAATAAAAGCGCTCATAATGCAGAAACATCGAGTAGTAACAATCAAAGCATATGCAATGAACCTTCGGACGAGTTGGAACCAATCTTCTTATAAGGTCATCCACGTGTGTTGACTGGTTTCTCTGTAAACAGCGACCAAAAAGAAAACAAAAGAATAAGATGTATTTAGAAAGTAACCTAGCTTGTCACAAAGCAAATATGAATGAAGTATTAGATCCTGTTGCACTCTATATGCATGCTTGTGGATATAATGCAGGTGTATCTGAATGTATGCATCCTTTGCCACTCTGAATTCGAATGATTGCCAAAAGATATAAATTATTCCAATCACAAAATCTTAGTTCCACACCTTTGATAGGTTTCTGGTGTCAGCACTGCTGTGTTGATCATAAACTCTTAAATGTTTCTGACTCCAGCAAGAAGCATCCAAAAAGAAAGAAAAGAATCAATATGCAAGTAATATAACTAAAAAAACCCTCTCTAATATCATTTAGTTAAATGCTGTAAATCCTTACTGTAGCTGAATTAGGTTGCTCAGTAGCATATCCTGAAAAAATTTGAGAGAAAAAGTCAATACATATATTATTCCCTGCTGAAATGATGAAGTGGAGAACACAGGCAAATGCACAGTAGTAGCTTATGCGCACTCACACAAACAGATGGGCTATGGTTTTTAAGGGGCATGGGAACATATTGTAAATCCGCTCTATGTCTAATATTCATCTTGTGAAAATCAAATACGTCATAATAACTTCGAAGATCTGGATTGAAATGCTTAATGAAGCAGTCATCTCTGTATCATATGGAATCTTAACTGGAAAACAGAAATACGCAAAAATATTAAAGATGTGTAGATTTCACAAAAGAAATTGTAAGTAAAATGGCATCAAAATACTTTGTTACAGTAACGACATTAGCCGCAATATCGATCTGGCATGTGACGAGAATAAGCACGTCGAATTGGGCAAAATTAAGAGTCCTTGCCCAATTGTGAACTACTACAGTAGAGCAATGAAATGCAGACAAGTAGATTCACAGTTTCAATATAAGATCTCATCTAAAACAAGCACGAGACAGTTATCAAAATCGAAAAAATGAACTGAGCAATTAATCGGAAAGTGCATTACCAGCCGATGAGAGAAAACCATTATGGAGTCCGAGCAAGAAAATTAGCGAAACCAGCATGGAAAGAAACACGAGACCCAGAACAGCCATGACCAGACCTTTCCATCGTCTCTTTGTTGCAAAGGAGTACGATGAACCCCCATACCCGCCCTTCATTTTCCAAATTTCTTCTTCCCCTACCCAGTCCTTCTCCAATTCCGATTTTTCCCTTTTTCCACAACAGTCTTATTCAATTATCAACAATTTCCAATTTCTGAAAACAATCCACCTGTTAATCCAATCGCATTGTAATTAATGATATATACTACTCGGATTCTCTATTCTCTTCAGATTGGTAAAAACTGTGTGTCTTTCCACTCTTGGGTTCCTGTAGATCGATCCGACAAATCACATCCCCTTCTCAAATCTCACGCGCGGATTCTAGCGAAACTAAAAGGGATTCTTTTTGCACATGGGTACACTTCAATCTTGTGTTTTCGTTTATACTTCCGGTTCCTGCAACTGAAATGTGTAACGATCTCATTGGATAACATTACCAAAATTGTTAGTAAAGGAGTATTTAATGCAGATAATTGGTACAAAAAAGGGAATTTCCAATAAAGTCTTGTCTTTAAAATATCTATTCTTTTTTTTATTTCTCCTCCTGTCATTTTCGCGGATATAAATGCTAAATAGATCATTTGTGACTGTCATTTTTATATTAATTAATCCCCTTTCGTAGATAAAAATCAGATTGTTATTAAGAGGGTGTTTGACTCCCAATTTTATAGGAAAATAAATTTTAGAATTGTAGATTAATGGAGAATATGTGAATGAAAAATAAGAAAAAAATTAATTTACATGTAATATTATTTTAATAAAGAATGCGCGATTAAAAAAAAGTGAATAAATGTATTTTGATAAAAATGATAATCAAACGGAGCCTAAATTTTAATAATAATTAATGAAATGAGCGCGAATTTCATAAAATGTGATGTTGAAATTAAGGGCCTGTTTGGGCCCGATTTTTTCACCAAAAAAATTAATTTTTTAACCGTTATTTCACTATTTCAGTCGTCATTTTTGAATTCTTCTTTCACGGGTGGACCCCATTTTTCTTCTAACGGTCAAAAAATCAATTCTCAAGATCACTCCCAAACAAGCTCTAAGTGTTGACTTTAACTTAAATTTTTATTAAATTTTAAGCCTCGACAAATATGAGCTACAATGTGTTGAAGAAAATATTTTTATGTTGAATTTTGGAGAGGTATTGTGATTTGGCCTCTGTTTCATATGCTAAAAATTAGAATTTTTAGTAGATTTTGATAAAAATTAATAGAATATGTGATCGAAAATTATTGTGGATTCCATAAAATATATGGTTAAAATTAATTGTTAACTTTAACTTATATTTGTATCAAAAGTTTAAGCCACACCAAAAAAAGCTTAATTTTGTATGTATTTAATCATCAATCACTTTGACCTCTATATATTGTGTTAGAGCATTAATCTTAATTAATAATTTACATCATATCAAATGCTTAACTTTGTATCACATGATTTTCCATTTACGTCAAATAGTATACAATGAAATGTCGAGTAATATTGACACAATTTCAAACGTTATCTGATGAAGTGACGAGTGCTGCTCGATATGTGTCAAGCACGATTTAACACCAAGTCAACTACTATTTAATTTTATATATAAATAATTATTAACTATTTAATTTCCTCGATTGATAGATCAATATAATCATTATTCTTAATTATTAATTTACATAATGTCAAATGCTTGACTTTGTATTGCATGATCTTTTATTTATTTCGAACGGTCTTACTCGCAAAGTGTCAAGCAAATCATTGCAATATAAAATCATTGGTCAAAGTTTAATTTATTCTTTTATCTAGTAAAATTTTTCATAACATATTAATTTATTCTTTTCTCCTGTAGAATTTTTCTTAAGATTTTGAAATAATTGTTAATGTAAATGTAATTGAAGCGCTATCAACAAAAAATAGAGGCAAAACTTGTGTGCTTGATGAGAATGTGTATAGACTAGTGGTAAAAATTTTGCTTTGTAGATGCAAGTAACGTGGGTTTGATTGTTCGATTATCAAAGCCTCACTATTAATTACAATTTTTTTTAATTTTTTTTTGTGTGTGAATTTTTTGCATAATTAGTCTAAACTTTGTTGTTTAAAGTAAATACATCCACAATCTTTACTATCGGGTTTTTCAATCCCAATCTTTAGTATTATTTGCGTAGTTTGTCCTTTTATATAATAATTTCTTCAATTTATTATTATTATTATATATATATATATAAACATCACATCTATAATATATTAAATATCACATCAATCAAGAATCATTTTTTAGACGATTATAACCCTAATACAATTCAATTATTTCAATAATACTTGATTTTGCCATTTTTAATATGTATTTAATTTACAAACTATAATAAATACTACAAGATCCAAAATCATGCATGTATTTCCTGTTATTAATTCTCAAGTAATTAACATTGACATCCACATTCATTTAATTAATATTAATTAAAATTTCACGTCCATGCCCTTGTTATTAATTCTCAATTAATTAATACTCACATTCATTTAATTAATATTAATTAGAATTTATAATATATTAAATTCACATCAAGTGAGAATAATTTTTCGGATGATTATAAACCTACTACAAATCAATTATGTTAATAATACCTTATTTCTCACTTTTAATATGTATTTAATTTACAAACTGTAATGAATACTACAAAATCTTGATTCATGTATGTATTTCATGTTATTAATTCTTAACTAATTAAAACATCCACATTCATTTAATTAATATTAATTAAAATTTCACACTCACGTCCATGACCCTGTTATTAGTTCTCAATTAATTAATACTCATGTTTGTTTAATTAATATCAATTAGAATTTCACTTCCAAGAATGCGGTTCATTATTTACAACCATTTATGCTAATTAGTATCATGTTTCACTTGGTTGGAAATTAAAATATATTCTTTTAGTATAAATAATTTAGCATTCATTATCAAGCATATATTCCTTTCTATTAATTCTAAATTAACTAACATTCACGTTAATTCATGTATCGTATTTGTCATTCATCTTCATTTATGCATTTAGTTATAATTCTAAACTCACATTCAAGCATACATTTCGCTATTTACGTTTGTGTATAATAATTAACATTTATTTTCAGGGAGTTACATTTTTCTCATATTTAGATTAAAAAGTAAATGAAAGATCAAATATTATTTTAACAACACTTATAAAACATTTCAGAATAACGTGCAAAGCACGCTCTTATTAGTTCTCAAATAATTTACATTCACATTCATTTAATATTAATTCGAACTTTATATTAACATTCACGTCCATGTCCCTATTATTAATTTTTAATTAGTTAACATTTACATTTATTTTAACTTGATTGGAAATTAAATTATATTCATATAGTACAAATGATTTAACATTCATTGTCGCGTATATATTCCTTGGTATTAATTCTAAATTAATTAACTTTCATGTTAATTCATGTATTGTATTTGCCATTCGTCTTCATTTGTGCATTTAGTTGTAATTCTAATACTAGCACTTAAGTACACATTTCACTATTTTCGTGCATGTATAATAACTAATATTTATATTTAGGAACTCGCATTTCTCTCATATTTAGATCGAATGAGTGAATGGAGGGTGAAATATTACTTTCACAGTACCTATAAAGCATTTCAGACTCAAACGAGTCACTATAAGAATGAAGAAAGAAAGGAAAAAGAAAACAATGAACAACATGTAACCAAAAGTAAAAAAACAAATCAGTACGGGGATATTATAATCTTATCATTTCTCGGGCAAAATATGTTCTTGGATATTTTCTTGTCAGTTGCAATAAATTTATTTTGCTCATGTTGAAAGTTTATTTATAAAAGTTTAAACTATAAATAGATAGAAACGAATATTGATTATGAATAATACTTAAGGATCTCTACATTAACCTTCTTTTATTAAATTTGTCCATAGATTCCATTAGGTCAATCATTCTGCGATTTGAAGTTTGAATATTAATATGAATAATGTTATTTAGCACCAATTTAGACGGTATCATTTATGTTTTTAAATTATATGTTCAATTAAATATAAGGAATTATGCATTCAATTAAATATAAGGAATTATGCCTCATTTGACCTATGATATATGACACCTAAGTTTGTATTCAATAATACTGGTGTTAAAAAACATTATTATATTAACACAAATCCATAGAAGTGGAAAACTACATTGTCAAAAAATCAACGAAAGCACACTGAGTTAATCACGAATTTCACAAGTTCCATAAGTGCTTGTTTGGAATAGATTAAAAAGTTGTTAAAAATTCATAATCAAAATCAAAATCAATAATTAATTTTAATTACATATCTATAGGCCATAACTTTTTTCAACCACATATTTCATTAAATTTTATCAAAATATACTAAGACTTTATAAACAAACTTTGCCGAACACCCCTAAATAGAAAAAGGCCAAAGATACATATTTAAAATGAGTTAATATAGTTTTTAACTCAAAATATGAATAATAAAGTAATCAAATTCCCCCTTCCTCAAACCCCATCCATTGTCCAACCCCTTCTACCACTAGAACCATCACCCTGTACCACCACCCTTTCCTCCCCTGTCCTCGCCACCACTACCACTACCCTCCCTCTTTCCCTTTCACGTCATCACCACAACCCTTGCCTCCCCCTTTCATACTGTCGCTACAACACTTTCAATCGATTTTCCACCAATATCATTTTAGAGCCCCCAAAACTCCCATCTTAGTCGAACTCAAAATTTTGATTTCAATTGGGATATGGTTTTTGAGATTCTACGTTGGTGATGGTGAAAATTGGCAAAAAAAAATGTATATATTACTTCAATAGTATATTAGTATAAATTAGTTCTATTTTATTGTATAATCAATTGACGTCATATAACAATTTTTAAAGTTTAAAATCAAACATATTTCTCAATTTTTGTTTTGAAAAATTATTTTTTAAAATGAAAAACTAAATGCATTCAAATAGACACTCAAAACAAACATTTAATTGAATTTGAAATTGAAACGCAAATCAAAGGGGCCTAATCTTCTATTAAACCCATGCTTGTCGAATATTATTTTGCATTCTATTATATTATTTTTTCTACAGTATTTATTTTCAAATACATATTCTTTATTAAAATTATACACAACCCAAAAATATTTTCTTTCTATTTTAATCACACATTTTTTATCAATTTATTATTTCATAATACACTTTTCAAAATTAAAGGGTTCAAACACACTCAAAACAATTACAAAATATTATACACACTCATTTCCACAGACTCTTTCCACTCAAATTCAACAGAAAGAAAGTGAAAGGGA